GACCCAAGACCCTTTACCTTCGCTACATGGTAGATTAGCTCACTACGGCGAAACTTTAGAAAATTCGCTTACAGGCTAACACTTTAAGAATCTCTCCTCGTAACAGAAATATGGGGGATGAAGAAGAACCTCCAGGACCCAGGCGTAATCCTGGATCGTACTATCGATCAAATAGGCAGGTATGTCAGCCGCAATCGGAGTGGGCCGGGGGGAAACCACTGGCAAGTGTAGCGGGAATTGCCCCTTCAAGGTATACTTCTCTTATTAGCTTGAGGTTCATAGTGCAGTGGATATATGCTAGCTTAGTTGCTCACTTGTATCTTTTGTACGAGGATACGCGGAAGCGGTATCCTCTCCTTTCTTTATACAGTGAAGGCTTTATTCCCTTTACACAAGGGCAAGATCCGAGCCCGGGACATCGAGCGACCCACGGGCAACGTAGCTGCCGTGCCATGCCCCCTGTTGGGGCTGGGGCTGAGGCACCTGTTCTCATTCAAGGTTGCGTGGCTAGCGACGGTGGATATATATCCACTTTTAGTGACGTTGCTCCTTTTTGCTTTCTTACTCACTTAGCTTACTCAAGCGATCGGAGGCGGAGAGCCCCCGATCCCATTAGCCTACGGGCCGGAGTAAGTAGTCTACCTAATTATTAGCATATCCTAGTCCTAGAGTCGGGCTTGAGGGTAAACTTCCTTTACATTAGCGGCCACTTGATGTAATTTCTGTGGTGTAGCGCTATGGGCAGTCCCAATCCATGGGGGTATTTGTACATTCTCCATCTGCAAGTCATTTCTTCGAAATGCAGGCATCTGAGCGATCAATACGTCGAAAATAAATGGCAACTTTTACCACTGTTTCTGAGACTAATGAAGCAACACATAGCATCCTTTGACTTTTTTGTTGAGACAGAGATAAAGAACGTTGTCGCTGCGGAGCGTGACGGCGTTTTCAAAGAGATCAGAAGACACAAATTATATCAGATCTAATCAATGTAGGCGCCGAATCACACTGTGCGCTCAGAGGTTGACCCTAATTTTTATTTGTCGTATACCGACGTTTATGTCGGGGTACCTTCCATTGAAGAGGATGCTTTCACGAGCACCGCGGCGACACCCTTTGAGTGTCGGCTGCGCGACTGTACTTACAGCGCTCCAATCTACGTCGATGTGAGGTACCGTCGTGGACCACAAATCGTGACCACGAAGAGGGTCCCGATCGGATGCATCCCAATAATGCTGCGATCGAGCAAATGTGTTTTGCATAACCAATCGTGGTCACAACTTGAAGCACTAAAGGAATGTCCTCACGATCCAGGTGGTTATTTCGTTGTCAAGGGTGTCGAGAAAGTCATATTGATGCAAGAACAGCTCTCCAAAAACCGAATGATTATCGAGCTCGATGCGAAAGGATTTGTGTGTGCAACTATCACAAGCTCAACCCACGAGCGCAAGAGTAGATGCTCTATCGTTGTCAAGCAAACGACGCACGGGCATCGAGTCTACCTCAAGCATAATACTCTTGGCGACGAAATTCCAGTGGTCATCATACTCAAGGCGATGGGAATGGAATCTGACCAGGAAATTGCAGAACTTGTTTCATCTGCAGATCTCAAGATTGCCAATATTTTTGTGAATTCAATGGAAGAGCCATGCGCGGCTCACGTTAAGAGCCAGAAGCAGGCTCTTGAGTATGTTGGTCAAGCAATTAGGGCCAAGCAAAAGGCACAATCTGCCGAGGGGTCGCTTCCGCAATACTTTCCTCGCTCACGACAGCCCGTTTCTATTGAAGACGAGGCTCGTGAAGTTCTTGCGCATGTTGTCCTCTCGCATGTACCTGTAGAAGACTATGACTTTGTAGCAAAACGTACCTATATTGGTCACGTTACAAGGCGTGTGCTTGCTGCATCTTTGGACAATTCGCTGTTAGACGACAAAGACTATTACGGGAATAAGCGGCTTGAGCTTGCCGGTCAGCTTTTGAGCCTCTTATTCGAAGACCTCTTCAAGCGTTTCAACGCCGACCTCAAGCGATCAGCAGATCTTGTCCTGCAAAAGCAAAATCGCACCGCTGTCTTTGATATTGTCAAGTCAACAGTCTGGCGAACTGACACTATCTCTCAGGGCTTTGTTCACGCCATATCCACAGGGAATTGGGTGCTGAAGCGATTCAAAATGGATCGGGCTGGAGTTACCCAAGTCTTGTCGCGCCTATCTTATGTTTCTGCCATTGGCATGATGACGCGCGTAAACTCTCAATTTGAAAAGACGCGTAAGACATCAGGCCCTCGTGCACTGCAACCCTCCCAGTGGGGAATGCTTTGTCCTGCCGACACACCCGAGGGTGAGACGTGCGGCCTCGTAAAGAACCTTGCTCTCCTTGCACATGTGACAAGAGATGCGGACGCTGAAAGAATTAGAAGTTCTTGTTTTGACCTGGGTGTCGAGCAGCTGGGCTATTTGAGTGGTGCAGAACTGAACTCGCATCCTGGAGCGTATCTTGTCTTCCTCAACGGCCTTGTTATTGGAGCCTGTCGGAGACCACACAAGTTAGCAGGCGCGTTGCGGTGCATGAGACGCTCAAAGAGAATAGGCGAATTTGTTTCTGTCTACACGCACACGGTCCATCGGGCAATTTATGTCGCCTGCGACGGTGGACGTGTGTGCAGACCATTGATAGTTGCGGCGCATGGACATTCACGATTAACGGCAGCTCGGCTCGCAACTGCATTTGCCAAAAAATGTCTCACTTCCCATGACCGATCAAATTTAGGGGAACTTTCCAACCGGATGCGATCTCGCGTATCGGTCGAAAATTCTGCAGGAGCCCTGGATTATTTAACTACGGCTGGAATCATTGAGTACGTTGATGTCAACGAGGAGAACAATTGTTTTATTGCATTAGACGAGCGTGAACTCACACCACGCCATACACATGTTGAAATCGACCCAGTTACAATTCTCGGCGTTGTGTCAGGCTTAGTTGCCTTCCCGCATCATAATCAGTCACCACGAAATACGTACCAATGTGCTATGGGTAAACAAGCAATGGGCTCGGTTTCAACAAATCAGTACGAACGCATGGACTCACTCTTGTATTCTCTTGTGTATCCACAGAAACCCATGGTGAAAAGCCGCATTCTTGACCTTGTTCAGTTTGACGCCCTTCCTGGGGGCTGTAACGCAACTTTGGCTGTCATGTCTTACTCTGGCTACGATATTGAAGATGCGATAGTTCTTAATAAGGCATCACTCGACCGAGGATTCATGCGGTGTGTTGTTGTCAAGAAACACCAAGCATCAATTCGACGGTAAATCTGCACGACAGTAAAATATGGACCCACTTCCTGCTAAGGTATGCAAACGGCGCTTGTGATCGTACGACTGGTCCGCCACCTGCTACCTCGTTTGTGCAAGGTAGGGCACAAGTGAACCCCGCCCCTGGATCGCAGGGCAACTCAGGTACAATCGACGCACGGTACAAGCGGTATTCCGCTCTTGACGATGACGGCATTTGTAGAGTTGGAGAGAAGTTAAATGACCAGTATATAATGATCAATCGTGAGATTCCTGTCGAGGACCGCGATTCATCTATTTCTGGTCATGGTCGAGGTAAATCTTTGCAAATGGTCCCCACTGTATGAGATTCTTCGTTGCTTTTGCGCACTAGGGGCTCGTTCTGGTCGTGTCCGATTGACAAGCAATGACATTGGCGGATCTACAGTATACAAATCACAGCCATGTGTGTCATTGTGCTGTGTCTCATTTAAAAATTTTGCAGCAGCTTGTCCCTACAGTTACAAAGCACCTGCATCAAGTGTAGTGGATCGTGTTTTATTGACAGCGAATGATACGGATCAATTCCTGGTGAAGGTTATGGTGAGACAATGCCGTCGACCGGAGGTCGGGGACAAGTCTACACAGAGTATGATCATCGAATCGGGAGCAATGGGTCTTGACAACGGTCTCCACGTAGATTTGCAAGTCGCCACGGGCAGAAGGGTGTGTGCGGTGCAATTGTGCCACAAGTTCCACATTAGTATCTCTGATGAGATCCTCAGAGTCTTATCTATATTTGGCAGTATAAACCCACTATATTCATCAAACTAGGAAGACATGCCATTTTCAGATGCGGGCATCTGTCCTGACGTGATCATGAACCCTCATGGCTTTCCAAGCCGAATGACAGTTGGGAAGATAATTGAACTCGCTAGCCCTGCGCAATCGTGTCTTGATTCAAATCAGACCCCTATCTAGGTTGCTGGCAAGGCGGCTGTGTGCACTGGTAGGCAGGCATACGGCACAGCCTTTGGTGAGGTGCATGGTTCAGCTGATTGTGCGAGGTCAAATCAGCGTACAGACCCAAACTATCGAATCAAGGGATGGCCGTTGCAGGGTCGCATCCGAGACTCTAGTCGCATACGGGTTTTCTTACATTGGAAAAGAATTGTTGTATTCGGGTGTCGCAGGAGACCCGCTTCGAGCTTATATATTTATGGGCCCAGTATTTTACCAAAAGTTGAAGCACATGGTCATGGACAAGATGCACGCACGCGCGCATACCTCTGCGCCCAATTGAGACGACCAAACGATTTAGTTTCCAGCCTGTGTAGGCGCGGCATCATTCAGAGTGTTTCAAATTATAAATTGAATGGTTGATTTCCTGTCAATCACCCCAGGTCCGCGAGCGCAGCCCGTTGCCGTGTCATATGAGCAGTTTGAAACGCTATTCCTGTGCATGAATGCGAGAGTAATTGACTTGCAAGCAGGCTAACGCGACAGCCGACGGAAGGGTGCTGCTCCCCGCTTGTATCCGATTGCTAACATCTGCTGTAGGCGTTCTCGAGATGGTGGTCTTCGCCTTGGTAGGGCCCCACCTCATGTGTATGCACATGCGCATAGTTCACATTAGGTGAAATGGAGCGGGATTGTCTCATATCATATGGTGCCGCAAACCTGATAACAGAGAGGCTCATGATTTCCTCTGACCAGTTTGATGTGTATGTCTGCGAGGGTTGCGGCCTTCTTGGGTATTCAACAGTCCAATCCATGCCGTGCATGGAAGTTCATGGAACTGTGCAGTAGAGATGGAGGGAGCCTTAGGTCCCTGATGCAGAGCCTTCAAGCACTCATAGCAGTTGGTGCCAAAATTGTAGATCAGATGAACACATGGCGCCGCTTTGCATTCCCTACGCTTGCAAGCTTCTCTTTCAAGGTAAGTGTTATCTTCCTATCTATGAAGCATATCGAGACCGCCACGCAGAGCTCCAGAGTATGAACGTCACACCACGGCTCACGTTGGAGGACATGTAAAGCGACTTTTATTATTACAAGTCACGTCAGTCGTCCGACATCAAATAGTGATCGGTCTTGCCACATAGGCGGCTGCAACTGCGCTGCATGGCAATCATAAGGTTTGGATCAGGCCAGACAAGTATGGCTTGGAGATGAGGCTCCACTTGCTTCTATGCCGTGAGACAAGCCGCTCTTTGCAGAATCATAGTCCCTAGGGAGTTTGTTCTTATCATTGTGCTAGCTACTCATCCATGAAATGCACACATGCCGCTTTTGTCTACACAGTTGGGTCTCAGCTTATCCCATTCTCGGGCAATCACAAGCCATGTGCTACATCCTCGTCAAATCGCCGAGAATGGCTCAACGCAAATTCTGCTCTGCTCGTTCTCCCCGCCGATCAAAAACCCAGCCAAAAGACGAATGCCAGGGCTATGGAGCTGCCTCTATCAAACGCGTCGGTGACGATTTTTCATTGCTTTCCCCGTCAAAATCCCTCAAAAATCGTCACGGCCGCAGGACGCTAATCTGCCCGCTGAAAAGCAGATGGGCATACACCATCCCAAGTCGCGGGTTGTCCGCTCGCAATAACGTGAGGTTTCGTGCCGTTGCATGTGGTCCTGCACCGAACGTCACGCCCACACCCGGCAAGCCCCCCCCCCCCAAAGTGACCATTCACAGAAGCCAGCCACAATAGGACTGTGCGTCCCGTTGCAAGTTTGGCGCATCCGACAGACGGGTGACAGTCCGATTGCCCACCCCGACGGATTTATGGTCGCGGTTGTGGCGGCAAGTGGAGGTTATTATCATAGCGCACGCTGCGCCTTCCCTGTAATTCGCAACTCGTAGAGTAAGAATTTGGGAAGCGTAGCGGAGCAGAAGTTTCCACTAATAGCACGGTGGTGTGTCTGTGTCCTCCGGGAGTTTAGGAAAAGACAAAGCGTCTTGCCATCGAAACCAAAATCGACGCGGTCTGGACCGACGTTTCAATTGGGGTATTCCTCAGGTGATTAATATTCTACGTGCGCCAACTCGCCGCTGGTGCCGCGCGCCGCGCGTGGGACCCCCCCTGGGGGCTTTCGAAACGAATCGAAACACCGTTTTCGCGCGTCAGCGCCCGGGTCTCGGCCAGAAGATTGGTTCGAGGATGCATGCGGACCCGGGCGCGGCGGGTCTGCGCCGTCGGGCGCCGTGAGTTGCGCGCGATCGCGGCCGAGGTCGTCTCGGTGAAACGAGCGGAGCCGGCGCGCCGCGCGCGCGGACAGATGAACGAAACTCGTAACCTCAACGATCGTTCGTCGAGCGCGAGCGGCTACGATGATGTGTGGTGTTCGTTCCGGGCTCTGCGGGGCGAGCTAGGCGGTGCCCGCGGAGCTCGACATCCGCGCTTTCGTGCGCGGCCGTCAGCGGTCTTCAAACCGCAGGCGGTGCGGCGCCGCAGCGCACGCACGACGTCAAACAACACGCACGATGTGTGGCCTCGTACATCAAGTCTAACAACACGTCCGGGCACGCACGGGACGACATCGCCTCGCCCGCCCAGCCGCGGCGCATCGCAACTGCAGCATCTCAGACTAAACCGTCACTTTTGCCTTCACGAGTCACGTTGAAGTTCACTTCGACCTCCACTTCTGGTTCCGCGGGAGGGGAGCTTTCGGGCCCCGGGCGCGCGACGGAGGCGCGGCAGAGGCCTCCCTGGCCCAGTCCCCGCACCTCCGCCCAATATGGCATATTTTCCCGCATCTGACTGCTCTCCATAGCCCTCCTCCCCGTGTAAAACGAGACGGACAGTTATTGCGTGCGCGAAGCTTTAGCTGTGGTTATCATAATACCCTGCGTCAATGGCAAGGAAAAAGCAAACGAGGCCGCCGTGCCGGTAGGTGTAATCTATCGCCTTGATCGCGGTTTGCGTCGATCGCGCGTGTTTGGTGCCAGACTGTGTGTGTGTGGCAGTGGTTCCATGGCGTTGGACTTTGTCCGAGGCCGTGGAAAACGCCCAGCCTGGTGTGGTTTTGTGCCAGGGTGGCGCTGCCAGGGTGGGAGGAGTCCTGCTCGCGCGAGCAGGCACATGGCCAGTTGACGCGATGCATAGATCGCGGTACGAGTCGTGATGTTGCATTAAGCGGACCCGAGCTGGCGGTCACATTTTCTGTGAACCACTCTGGTGTCCCGGCCGCGGTTAAGGATTGTTGTTGCTGCGGACGTAGTAGACGGCGATGCTGCCGTCGTCGATTGGCGGCCCCGAATGGTACTACTTAGTATTTTCTATGGCTATGGTTGTTTCGCACATTGCCCTGGCCACACTGCCTTTATTTACGTGAACAGGACAACCTAGCCAGATAACTCAGCCGGCTGGACTGGGTGGGCCGGTACCTCGGTTCCGTCTTGCAGTGCGCATTTTGCCTTGCTGGGCATACCCACAGGGGGGCCTAGGAACTGTGCAGTTCCATGGGCGATGGCATGCACGACTGAGGCAACACCGTTCATGCCAACATGATGTGGATATGTCTGCTGGGTGGATATTGGGGCGTTTGCACGCCAAGATTTCACAAAGTCAGAAAAGCATAGGCAACCATCACCATCTTCATCTGCATCTGCGATGAGCTGGTTTACTTCATCGTCATCATAGTCTATACCCACCAGTGCCTTAATGGAAGCTGCATCCAACTTGCCGCTGCCATTGATATCGAGGGTTTGAAAAACTCGTCTCATGTGCTGCTCATCCAGGTGTATACGCCGCCACATGGTGGCAGCCAAGAACTCAGTAAAGTTTATCTCCGTCGTGCGAGAAATATCAATCGCCTTAAATATTTCGATCATTGTAGTATCATCGACGCTCTTGCATTCATCACAAGTTGAGGAAGCGTCTGCAGTATTCTGGTCGTGGCCCTTGGGACCACCTGATATAGGAGCGCTTCTCACGGCACTCGCTAGCTCTTCGTAAGAGATGGTTCCAGAATGATCGAGGTCAATCGACTCGAACAGATTTCTTACGGCAGTCACTTGGCGCGGCGTCATGTTAAAGGCGACCACAGCCAATACAACTTTTTGTAGCAAGGACGTAGCGACAAATTCTTTCAAAGTTCCAAGCAATTCAATACGTTGCCACTTCGGGAGTGGAGATGAAGAATACGGAGTGTTCGCCGCTTTCAGCCAGGGGTGAGTGAGAGCAGCAGCAGCACTCATTCTCAGTTCAGGATCGGAAGTGAGAAGTCTTGCAATGAAATCCTTAGCCATGGGTGAAACTTGAGAAAAAAAACGCTGGGGAAATTCCCAACGACCAGCGATGATACTTCTCCGAATGTCACGATCGTCCCTGCCCCAGAATGGCGGAGCACCAGAGACAAGCATGTAAGCGATCACACCCAACGACCACAGATCACATCGCGAGTCGTAAGAGCCCCTTAACACCTCCGGAGCCACATAGTACATGCTGCCAACTGCACCGTGGATACGTTCATGGACGAGAAAATGCTTTGCAAGACCAAAGTCAATTAGCTTAAGATGGGAGCCCGTGTGATGTTCAAATAGCCAGTTTTCGAGTTTTAGGTCTCTATGGACAACACCGTGTTCATGCAGGTACTGGACTGCGGAGAACATTTCAGTCATGAAACGAGTAGCACAGTGTTCCGTGCGATACTCGCTAGACATATTTACCAAGTCAAATAATTCCCCCCCCGTGCATATGTCCATGACCAAGTATATTTTACGGCAGCCGAAAAACACCTCGCGCAGCCGAACAATGTTTGGATGGTCTAATTGCCGCATTGAAGATATTTCGGAGTGTAACTTATCCACATACTGAGGACCAACTCGATTGATGCTCAGAACCTTACATGCGTACTCGTCGTTTGTTTCCCTGTGAGTCGCAAGGCAAACTGTTCCATAAGAACCATGTCCAAGGACCTGATCAGAGTGCAAATTGTAAATGTCTGTTATATGGCGGCTGGCAGCGTCGTGTTCAACGACACAGTTTTCGTGCAAGTGAGAGCAGAGCCTTGCTAAACGCCTGACTCGTTGTCGCTGAGAATCGAGCTCGGGGCCCAGGTCTCCAAAACTGCAAAGAACTTCAAAATAAACGACAGCTGCATGAAACCACCGCCGCATGTATAAAGGATCAGCGTCCTGCATCATCTCCTCCGCAAGTTTGATCGCTTGGAGCGCATGAGTAACAAGAACGTCACGCGCTTCGGGAGGTAATTCTGGTGGAGACACAGAAGGGGCGCGAGCCAATACTCTGTGAGCGTTCTGGATAACTTCCAGGTGCATCGCAGATTCGGGAGAACTTTCCTCGTTCGAAGATGCTGAGCACATCGCCATTGTAGCAGTTTGCATGCCACATACAGGTAGCGCGGTCCCAGTGGTTTCGGGTGCATGTGTGCTTGTCACACAACCATTTTGCGGAGGCGGAGTGCCATCTATTATGGCCGCCGGTAAATTACCTCCAGCACAGGCGCGAAGATGTCTAACCCATTTACGCCGACGCACCAGTGACATTCGTGGCTCATGAGAAGCGATGCCTTCACGTAGTCGCAGCGATAGCATCCACCATGATAGACCATAGCTCCATCCATCAGCGTCAATACTGGCACACCCATAGTCAACCGACCAACCACTGTCCCAGACAAAGTCTTGTATCGGAGGAGTTTCGTCCTCTGTTTGTACCATGTTTGACAATACAAGCCCTTCAATAGTGATCTGCGCCAACACATTAAAATGTGAAATGTAACGAATCCTACAATAAACGTACCGAGCCAGTCTCGTTGGATAAGTGTCCTCTTTCATACGGCAATAGATGCTTGTGAGACCACCCAACAAAAGGAGCGTGGCGCTCGTTTTCAAAAACCAGCATTGTTGCGGTTGCTGGACCGGTCGATACGCAACATTGTTCAACAACAGTCCCAGTATTGCTCATAGATGGGGCGCTATTGTCATCACGCTGTTCATGGCAGAGAATAGCAATTGATCCTAGAAACTCACACACACGATTCTGATCCAGGGAAACGTGCTGAATATGAGCTGGGTGGGGTTTAAGTCGTTCCTGCCACGCGACTAGGGTACAAAGGAACTCCACACACTGGTCATCGGGAGCGTGGACATTCTGTCCGAGCCAAAGAGCATGCGATATACAATAATATGCAACCATTTGGGCTTCGTGCTCGCGAGTCTCGTCCAAACGGCCGCCGAGAACTGTATCAATAAGAGCATCAGCCTCGTGAAGGAATGGTGTGATCGGCAGCAGCAGCGCTGGCACGGCACGGAAGTGTCGCATTGATGGCAAATGACTTGACGCACTTGGCACGTGCGTTCGGCCTCGCAATTTCTGCTGGATTGTTTTCGAGGGACGACTTGGATTCATAGCCTCACCCCAAATTAACGTCGTACGGGCACGATCTCATGAGTTGCATGGCGATCAAAATTGCGCGTACGCACGGGTATGTAGCCAGTTTCCGGGGGAGAAACTTGTCACCCATGTCAGATGCTTCATCGACCCCAATCGTACGTATAATTTTAACCGTATCAAAGTTAACATATGAGGCAACCCGGGGGTAGATCTGTGGCTCCCCACGATAGAATGCCGGGTTTACGTTGCACCCCAGGATTCGGAGCGAGTGGTTCAGCGGCCAAGACGGCGTTGAGGGCTTTCAGATGCAACAAGAATTTTCCAAATCGGTGGTCATGGCGCCGAGATAGAGCCCGCCAAAGGTGCCCATCACCACTGCCAGAGCCCTCTTGGCCCGGCATCGATTTTCTCGATTTGATCCCGAGCCACTTAATCCGGGATCCTATCGTGGGGAGCCACATCTAGATCATGCGCGAAAGGACCAACTCGCGTCGCCTGTGACGCGGTTGCTCTTCTTTCAGAGAGGTTCCCCCAACGTTCCCCCAGCCGGGACGTTTCACCTGACTTGCAGGCTACTTGCAGTCAGGCATTTTCGCGCCACGGAGAGCGTTTAGCGCTTAGGAGATGGCAACATTTCCCAACCACCTAGAAGGCGGTTCACTGGGTTATGGGCCCACTGTGCTAGCACACTGCGCAGCACAGTGTCGAAGCGCCGGAGCGGCAGCCTCGGGAGCGACCAGAACGTCGCCACACCGCCGCAGAGCGGGCGGCGGCGGAGCGCGCCGCCGGCGGTCCGCCGCGGCCTGGCAATGGCCGGCGGCGATGACTTCGCCGACGGCGGAGGGAGCCTCGACATCGGCGGCCTCGACGAGGGCGACGCCGGCGATGCCGGCAGCCATCCGGCGGCTTTCCCCCGTCTTCGGGGGAATTGGCTGTCCGAAATCGCGCGCGTCCCGGGGCGCACCGTCGGTCCGGATTCATACTGATTCTAGGCGAAGCGATGGGCTCATGGTGGCGGTCACGCGACATGAAGTATGTGTCGCTTATTCTGAGTGAAGACGCAGCGCACGAGTGTGTTCACAACCTGGGCGAGCTTGGCGCCCTGCAATTTACCGACTTGAACCCAGAACAGACTCCTTTCCAACGCCGCTACGTCAGCTACATCAAGCGGTACGCGACCGAGTTCGCGGGGCGCGCTGATAATAAAGTTCACCCATAGGTGCGACGAGTTGGAACGCAAGCTGCGATATATGGGCAAGGAAATTGACGCTTTTGGACTTCCAATTATGTAACAATTTACTTCCTGTTAGTGCGATTCGAGGATTTGGTTGTCACAGGTCCAGGCAAACTGGTCTAGCGTCCTTGGCAGGGCCTACCGGCCCAAGGTGAGATTGCACGGAAGGTACGATGAAGCATACAGGGGAATGTAGGTCAGGCGCTGCCGTGCTCGACACTCTGGAAGCGGAGCTGGAGAAATACGAAGAGCAACTTTTGGAACTGAACAACTATTCTAAGGAACTCACAACCAAGTATAACGAGAAGATTGAGTACCAAGAATGTCTCGAAAAAGGCAAGAGCTTCTTTAAGACAGAGGCGGTGACTATATTTTCGGAGGGTGATGTCGTCAACCCACTTAATGATGCATAA